ATTATGGGAGCAGGGAGGGAGGACGAGAGTCTGCACCCTTGTATGAGAGGCTGAGGCAAGAAAATCTTTAATCCTGCCACAGCCCTTTGAACATTTACATTTCCCAGCCACAGACACTGTGAAACTGGGAGCTCTCAGTTCAAACTAGTTCAAGGATGTTTTCCCTGGGGAAGGCTTTTGTTACCCTGTGGAGATTTCTGCCCAGGTCTTTGCTCTGAGGGTGAGCAACCACAGCTTTTCTTACAGAAAGAAGCTGCATCTTATACTCCTTGAAAAAGAAAAAGTGACAAATAAGAGCCCACAGGAACTAGGGCACAAAATTGCTGCCCTAGAGATTAGGGTTAAAAGGCTGCAGATCTGCACTGGGTGATTGCAGTAAAGCAGGTGTCACCAAACTCAAATCCTTGAGTTTGGAGATTTTTTTTCTTTTCTCCCCCTCGAGAAAGAGCTGCACTGCAAGAGGGCAGCGATAGAACAGCAGGATGTTTGTCAAGGAAGTGTTAACATGCTAAAAGGATTCCAGCCCTCTGCAGTTGTGGCCTGACAAAATGAGAAAGAAAAGAGATTTGAGTGCAAATAAAACCAACAAGCACAGTTTTAGATTATGCCAACATTTACCAGTTGGGGCTTGCACAGTCTGCAAACCAGTCCTAGATTTGGGAGAGAGTCTCCACTGATGGTTCTGAGAACAAAGACATGTTGACATCAGTAAATCTTCTAATCCCAGTGCCTGATGTGTCAACGAGCAGGTTTCAATCAGAGGTGAATTTCTTGCTAATTACATTAGATTAACCTAAGGAAATGGAATCCCAGTCAAAGCAACAAAGTCAAGCTTTCCTTCACTGACTTTCCAGCTGCAGCTCCAGTTTTGCTCTGTGACTTGCTGGGCACTTGGTTTCAACTGTGCCAGCACCTGCCCGCCTGGGAGAGCATTCCTGTTCAAAAAACACCTGGGAGGTCCCAGGTGAATGAGCAGAGCAGCCTGGGCACAGCTCTCAGGTCACTGCTGTGCTCTGCATGAAGCTCCAGCTCTTGCTGCCCCACCTGGCTGGGAAAGAAGGACTGAAATGGTTTTTTCCAGTTCTGGTTTTCAGGAGTCTGAACCAACTACAGCTCCCAGTGAGGCTGCCATGACATAAACTACCTTCTTCTGGGTTGTATTTTTCGATTTAATAAGTGTAAATAAAATTATTGATCCTTCCATTTCATTACATACTGTCCCTGAAGTAAAAAAAAAATGCATTATCATCCTTCCTTTCAGACAGTAATTTTTAAGAAGATTTTGAATTATTTTCTCATCTTTTCCCTGAAATATTGATCCCTTACTAATGATGAACCGGCACTGAAACTTTGAATTAATTTCAGTGTTTTCCCTATTAGAAGAGAGGACCAGAAAAAAGCTACCATAAAAATTGGATAAAACCACCTTTCAAAGAACTGCTGCAAAAAGCTGTCCTTTATCTCCCTGCTGTCCACAGGGGAAGACATCTGGGATTAACTTGGAAATGTTTAAATATCTCTAACTCCTCTGTAAATTTCCCTTCTGCTCTTAAAACCTTCACAAAGAGGTGCAGGAACTCCCTGTGCCTTTCTTTCCTCAGGGCAAGGGCTCTGACACGTTTGGACTTTGGGCTTTTGGGATCACTGGGGCCACGTTTGTGCCTCTTATCAGAGCCAGGGGATTTAAAGCTGCACAGCCTGCAGCACATTTCTGCACAGAAAATCAGAGAAATCATCAGAGAAATCGTCAGAGAGGGCAGAGAAATCTGGGATGGGTTTTTCCCCATCACAAATCTGAAAGAGGCTCTGCAGAAATGTCTCTTTTCTCCTACAGGAATTTACTGCTGTTCCTCACAGTCAGCCTTGCACAGTCCTGTCCTGTGCCAGTGTCACCCTCACAAGGGGATTTTGGGGTGTCCTGTGCCAGTGTCCCCCTCAGGGTAGGGATTTTGGGTTGTCCTGAGCCAGTGTCACCCTCACAATGGGATTTTGGGGTGTCCTGTGCCAGTGTCCCCCTCAGGGTAGGGATTTTGGGTTGTCCTGAGCCAGTGTCACCCTCACAATGGGATTTTGGGGTGTCCTGTGCCAGTGTCCCCCTCAGGGTAGGGATTTTGGGTTGTCCTGAGCCAGTGTCACCCTCACAATGGGATTTTGGGGTGTCCTGTGCCAGTGTCCCCCTCAGGGTAGGGATTTTGGGTTGTCCTGAGCCAGTGTCACCCTCACAATGGGATTTTGGGGTGTCCTGTGCCAGTGTCACCCTCAGGGTAGGGATTTTGGGTTGTCCTGAGCCAGTGTCACCCTCACAATGGGATTTTGGGGTGTCCTGTGCCAGTGTCACCCTCACAACGGGATTTTGGGGTGTCCTGTGCCAGTGTCACCCTCAGGGTAGGGATTTTGGGTCCCCACAGTCAGCTTTGTTCTGGCGTGTCCTGTGCCAGTGTCACCCTCACAGGGGGATTTTGGGGTGTCCTGTGCCAGTGTCACCCTCACAATGGGGTTTTGGGGTGTCCTGTGCCAGTGTCATCCTCAGGGGGGATTTTGGGGTGTCCTGTGCCAGTGTCACCCTCACAATGGGGTTTTGGGGTGTCCTGTGCCAGTGTCACCCTCACAATGGGGTTTTGGGGTGTCCTGTGCCAGTGTCACCCTCAGGGGGATTTTGGGGTGTCCTGTGCGGGGCCAGGTGCCGGTGGCCCCTGTGGGTCCCTTCCAGTCGAGCTTTTTCTGTGGCTGCGTCCGATGTTTTCCTGTGGCGATGCCGGAGTTCCGAGTTTCTGTGGCTGCAATGGGCGCTGGGCTCGCAGGGTGTGCAGGGTCGGCTCGGTGAGGCCCAGCAGTGGCACAGGCCCTCCCTCGCTGGCCATATTCCAGAGCAGCTCTGTGCCGTGCTGAGCAGGGAGGCTGAACACGCCCCACAGTCCCCTCCAGCCTGACCCCTCCGGGATTTTGTGATTCTGGGGCTGAGGGCATGCCCACCCGGGGGGAACCCAGGGAGGGCGGAACCCCTGGTTGGCATCGCTGCTCCCCAGCCGGGCGGCACAGGCGGGAGGACAGGTGAGGGCAGATGTTCTCCGATAGCCACTTCCGGTTGGCGTCACGGGGAGCGGAGTCCGGGCGGAAGCGGCCCGGGCCCACTTCCGGCGGTGGCCATGGTGACGGCGGCGGCCAGGTGGGGACAGAGGGGACAGGGAGGGACA